CTACTGGCAGACCTGTGCCGCTTTGTTTACCTAAAGGCTCCATGGCCACAGAGCCTCATGGCTCCCATTGGCTCCAGTTCACTGTTTCCAGCCAAGGGACGCCGTGGGAAGCAGCGTGGCCAATGCCACTGCTTCTCGCAGCTCTCCCCTCCCCCTCCCCTATTGGCTGGAACCAGCGAACCAGCGCCAATGAGAGCCATGAGGCTCCATGGCTATAGAGCCTTTAGGTAAACAAAGCGGCACGATGCGGCTTTCCTGAAGGGGCCCACAGAACAGTTTGAAAACCACTGGCATAGACCATTAGAAAATGCCCCTCATGAGTATGCAGATCACTGGGCCAAGTGCATAACTAACATTTCTCCATTTGGCTCACTATGACTTGCGTTCCTTGTATTTCAGTTGGTGTTTAGGATATGTAAAAATATAGGTGTTGAAAAGTGCAATATAAAGTGAATTGCTGGAGAGACTGTGCTGTGCTGTGCTTCAGCTGTGCTGTGAGCTGATACAATTGGACTGTAACTTCTTGATTAAATCATTACAAATTATATGGGAAAATTAGCACATATTTATACAAGAGACACCAAAAAAGAACTTGGAAGTGTTTGTCACCAACACTGAAAACAGCAGTTGATGGACACAGATTACATTAGGATTTTCAGAAGCTGGGCCCAGAAATGTGAGGCAATCCAGCTCAGCAACTCAGTGAAAAAGCTATTTAAGGGTGGGGTTAAAAACAGAGATGCCAGTTGTACCCATGGAGCATTCAGTCAATGAATCCAGATGGTTCTCAAGGAGCTACTGTCTGAGGAAGACTCCAGTTCCAAAGTGCCCTCTCCCTGTTCTCTCTGGGAATGCCTACACTTCTTTCCTGTCTCAAGAGAGGAATGCAAATGCAGACACCCAAAATTGCAAATGAAGCAGGGATTTAAATATCCCACGCTTCATTTGGATAATTGTGTTACGACGCTATTGCGAAATAGCGCTATTTAGAGAGAAAAAAGGGGTTATTTCCAGATAAAACCCATCCCTCGAAATAACCCTTACTCTTCATGGTTATTTCAAGGGAAGGTTTTTATCTTGAAATGACCCCGTTTTTTCTCTCGAAATAGTGCTATTTCACAATCGCACCATAACGCGATTTCACAAATGAAGCGCGGGATATTTAAATCCTAGCTTCATTTGCAATTTTGAGTGTCTGCATTTGCATTCCTCTTGAGAGAGAGAGAGAGAGAGAGAGAGAGAGAGAGAGAAGAATGAAGTGTTAGATATACCTCTGATTGGTCTGTGGCAAGAAGGAGTGGATTCAGTGGAGTAACACTAGAGAAAAAACATTGACATTAAGAGCAGAATCAGGCATAAATGTTTTAGGATTACAATTCTGGAAAGAAAGGAAAGCTCTTCAGACTCCTCAAACCCCTGTTGTTAAAAGGAATATAGCTGCTGTGGTATACTTCCAGTATACAGGCTGTCCCCGAGTCGGATCCGCACTTACGAACGGGGCTTTCTCGCCCCGGAGCTCACAGGCAGCGGGACCGCCCAGAGCGCAGCGGTCCTGCCACCTCGACCTCCGGGGCGAGAAAAGCTGCTCCGGGTGCCCCTGGTCTGCTGGGGACCATCTCCAGCAGACCAGGGACACCTGGAGCAAAGCTGGGGAGGCGGAGGGGTCCCGTGCCTCTGAGGCTTTGCCAGAGCAAAGCCTCAGAGGCGCAGCACCCCGCCGCCACTGCTGCTTTGCTCCCAGTGCCTCTGGTCTGCTGGGGACCGTCTCCAGCAGACCAGGGACACCTGGAGCAAAGCCAGGAGGCGGAGGAGTCCTGCGCCTCTGAGGCTTTGCCAGAGCAAAGCCTCAGAGGCGCAGCACCCCGCCGCCACTGCTGCTTTGCTCCCAGTGCCTCTGGTCTGCTGGGGACCGTCTCCAGCAGACCAGGGACACCTGGAGCAAAGCCAGGAGGCGGAGGAGTCCTGCGCCTCTGAGGCTTTGCCAGAGCAAAGCCTCAGAGGCGCAGCACCCCGCCGCCACTGCTGCTTTGCTCCCAGTGCCTCTGGTCTGCTGGGGGGGGGAGAGGCGCAGCTAGTGGCCCCCCCCCCAGCAGACCAGGGAGACGTGGAGCAAAGCCCTGGGCCTGTGGTAGAGCAGGTGGGGCGCTGCCGGTTGGTCCCGCAGCACCGCTCCTTGGCACTACTGGACCAACCCGGCAGCACCCCAGCTGCTCTGCCCCAGGCGTCCCCAAATCAGCTGCTGCTGAAACTGACCAGTGGCTGACTACAAGAAGCCCCTTCCCCGGGCTTCCTGGAATCAGCCGCTGACCAGTTTCAGCAGCAGCTGACTTGGGGATGCCTGGGGTTCTTAAGTTGAATCTGTATGTAAGTCAGAACTGGCGTCCAGATTCAGCCGCTGTTGAAACTGATCAGTTTCAGCAGCGGCTGAATCTGGACGGCAGTTCCGACTTACATACAGATTCAACTTAAGAACAAACCTACAGTCCCTATCTTGTACGTAACCCGGGGACTGCCTGTACCCTGTAAGCTGAGTATTTGGGTGACTACTCAGGAGAGATTCATATGTTGCCCAGCTGATTATCAGAGTGCCCACAGCCAGCAGTATGTGTTTCTACTGATGGTAGATATCTGCATATGCTTCTGTGCACATAACAAAATTTATTATGCACATGGATGGAAAAATTTAGAGGCATTGGTCACCACTAACACTGGACCGAAAAAGCAAAAGTAGGGTGTGATCTAATGGTATAATGATCAAGTGACTCTGCACCAGAGAATAAATTATTCATTTAAAAGAAAAAAGAACCACATAGGAAATACAGATTAAAAGTGAGTTGCAGTCTGCAGCTGGTCAGAAATGATTTGTTGTAAAATTCATTGGTGGGATGAGAAGATAAAGGAGCTACTTCCTATAGGTTATTACTACAGGTTAAACCTCCCTTGTTCAGCACTCTTGGGACTGGAATGGTCTAGAAAAAGGGACCGGGGAGATCAGGCATCTGGGCACTCCTGGGGCTCCTCTCCTAGCAGCTACCTCAGGAGAAGACGGAGACCTGACCTCCTCCAGTCCACCTGCCTGGGTCTGCTGCCCCCAGCCTGCTTGCAGGGCTCTGCTCCCTAACCTCAGCCCTGTGCAGGGCAGCAGCTGCTCCTGGAGTTCCCCAGGTCTGGCCCCACACACAGTGGCAGCTGCTCCCAAGATTCCCCAGCCCCGTGTGCATAGGCAGCATCAGCTGCTCCTAGGGTTCCCTGGCCCCAGTCCCACATGCAGTGGTAGCGAGAGCCCCAGCCTCAAACGTAGCGGCAGCTGCTCCTGGGGGTTCCCCAGCCCTGTGCATAGTGGCAGCCTGTCCATAGGCGTGAACTAGGTGGTTGCCTAGGGTGCCAAATTAAATGGGCATTGAGGGATTTGGAGGCGGGGGCGCCGATCGCATGTTTCGCCTAGGGAGCCAGTTGCCGGCAGCTCATCTAGGGCCACTCCTGCCTGTGCACCTGCAGCAGCAGCTGCTCCTGGGGTTTCCCAGAAACAGCAACTCCTCCCGCTGACCAAACCATCTCTGCTCCTAGCTGCTCTCAACTTCTGCGGCTGAGCTCTCGGATCCAGCAGCAACTGTGGTCCTGCCAGACCAAGGATGTTGGCAGACCAGGGAGTCCCGGACAAGAGAGGTTCAACTTGTAATCTGTTTTCATAGTTCTCTTGCCCTACCCAAATTTCATACTGGGCTTTAGATACACAATAAAGAGAATAGCCTTGATGTTTCTCTATCATGGATAACAGTCAAAGTCTTCCTTTTAGTCCTGCTAATGTAGCCTGATTTCTCATGTAATTTCACAGTTACACTAATTGGGTCATTTTAGATGTAGACTTTAGAAGGTGGATTCCTAAAAAAAAATCCTCTTTTATTATCAGAGTAAGAATAATTTACCAATTTATAAACATTCAGATTTGGGAAGACAACATATAACATGTTTATAAAGTGTCATGTGTTATTTTTAAAAATGTCTCCCCCCAACATGAAGTTCATCATTCTACTTCGATAGTCATTAAACACCATTCTAATTAATACAAATACCAGAATCACACGTCTGCCTTTGCAAATCATTATAATGACACTTAGCTATCCATCCGCCTAACATGCAAATATTGGGTTTTGCAAATAAACCCATTGCACTCATACTTTTAAAAGTGACTATTTATATATTTGAATAT